TTAAGGAAATTGATGGGAGAAAATTGATGTTGGTCACTCTAGGAGCTACCAGATAACATAATTAGGCTTTTTAGTAGTAGCAATTGCTGTTATGATCTACGCAATAGCATTAACTTTGAGGTTCCCCGCTTTAACCTAGAGGTGGGCAGGAATTCATTAAGATATAGGGGAGCTTTGTTCTGGAACTCCATTCCAGATAATTTAAAAAGAGCACCAAGTCTAACATTTCTAAAAAGCTTCTTAAGAAAAATAGACCCTTGTTCGATAAATTTTAACAAGATGAAATAGTATTTTAATTGTTCATAACTTTTAGTCTTTTATTTTACTACCTTATATTTATTCTTCTTATATACCTACTTTCTGTATATTTTTTTAATTTTATTTGCATATCATCAATAGATCGTTTATCAGCAGGTCCACATCAACTTTAGCTGCCTTTTAACTTAACCTGCTTAACCAAATAAACTATGAATGAATAATGAATGAATGAATGACTCTGACCTTGCGAACACTCCGAGTGGTGTGAGACTTTCCATTTCTCTTTTTGTTTGCTTTCAAGTGCTTGTCTTCGTTCTGTAGCAGTTTTTTGACGTTCCAGGCGTTGTTTCTTTAACCGAATAGCCCTAAACAGGAGCAGCAGAAAAACAGTTGTTGGCAGTCATCGACTCTTTCCACTTAACACTGTGAAATTAAGCTCACCTCTCTAGTGCCTTGCTTTGCCAGTTTCCACTGTAGTCGCTTGTTTCCACTGTGGGAATTTCTCGCGTGTCTGTTACACTGAAAAAAAAAATAATAAAAAACCATTACGGCTAGCAGAGTATTTCACAACCAGGGCAAATAACGCATCGGCGAAGCCTATTTCCCTTTCGTCAACGCTCGTTCCCATTTTGAACGGTCCAAGCCACCATTGGTAACCAGGCCTTTAGTCATGACAGACGTAACATATTCCCTGGATTAAGTCACAATAAATTGAAAAGAACGACGTTAAAGTCCAGGTTGAATTTACGTTAAAAGTTACGGAAAGGGCTTGGGTCACCCATTATTGATGTAACAGTTAAGAAAGACAGTTTGCTAGTGTTCGTGCTCGAATTTTTTGGACCTTTGGCGGTCGTTGTGGTACTGTGATGGTAAGGGAGAGAGATTGGGATACGAAAGATCCGGGTTCGTGGTTCGGGTTGGACCCTGGGTTGCGATTTTCTTTCTTTTTAATAGAAGCACTTTCAAGAACCGGTTAAAAATTTTCCAAGTGTCTTAAAAATGGCAGCGATCGTTTACGAAAAGGACAACTGCATCGTATCGCCGAACGAAGTCATGAGGTACTACTAAAGGTAACATAACACCAAAATAACACCCAAATGTATTAAGAAGCCAACTACTTCTCATGGTTTCACTTCTTTATCGTGCTTAGGGATAGCGGTGATAAGAATGGACAAGGGCACAAGTAACTCACGAAGACCGTGAAGGGGTTCCAAAGCTGATGATAAAGTAGCTTGCGACCACAGACGTATTTCCGGTCGTCGCTGCTCTCCCTCCGAATTTTTCTGAAATACGTTTGCGGTCGCAGGCTAATGATGAAGTCGCTTGTTTAATATCGGCTCGTTAGCTTGGGACGCAACCTTGTTTTGTGTTTGTACACACAACATTAACTCAGGCGATTTAGCATAGAAAATTTATACGAACTAAAATGTACCTCTCATTTTCGGAGTAGTTTTTCGAAACAAGGCTCTTTAGATAGTCCTG